ATGCCGAATGTGCCCCGAATGTACTTTTTATAGTTTTTTTCATTGTTTTCGATCAGTTTTGTAAAAACATTATATTTTTAAATATTTCTATAATAATACACATCGTAGTTAACCACATTTTAATAATATTGTCTTAAAAAAATTAAAAGTTTTATACACGAAATACTTACGAAATGGAATTGAAATATTACAGAAACCTCTATAAAAATACAAAAACCCATGTATCTAAATATGCTTATTAGTTAGAAATTTCAAACTTTGTGTCAGTTATATATTTCGATATTCGATACCCATGTATCGAAACTAGTGATGTACGGTGAGAGCTTCATATCGAAAACGCGATTGCCGAAGGTGCCCCGATGCCGAAGGTGCCCCAGTCTCCCCTACAGCCCTTCTAATTACTTGTCCAGATTCCCCTCACCGTGGGTTGTGTTGTGATGTTCGGCTTATAATTGTTTTCGGTCCACTTCATCCCAAAATTATAGATCATCTCCGAAAATTGTCCTTGACCCTAACTGTATCCTCATGCAAAATTTCAAAACGATCAACACTATATTTCGGCCCTCTAGCGTGGTAATGGGTTACTAAATAATATAATAATATGTAAGCACCTGTAACCCATCCCACATGCAAAATTTCGTGTATCGTGTTTACAAATTATAATAGACAGACGGACGGACACATGTCTAAATCGACTCAGCTAGTCGAGATATGACGATCGGTATACTTAAAGGTGGGTCTAGGACAAATATTTCGCGGCGTTACAAACTCTTGGGGCTGAACAAAGCTATAATACCCTGGCAACATAGTTGTGTAGGGTATAAATATCCAGACTTAGGAAGTACCGTTTTAAAAGGATTATACATATAAATTAATATATACTTAAATTTCCCCAGTTATTTCATTCATATATATAAATTCATTCATATATATAAATCCAAATCCACAGTCAGATAGGGACATACCTTAATGAGAACTAATATGACCGATCTTCAAACTTGATCTGCCTGCATAGTTATGAATGATATTGGCGGTCTATCAGAATTTCTTTAGATGACAAATAAGTTGAAGAAAGTTTTAAAATAACAAAAATTTTAGGTAAAATTATGAGGTCCATACATTTATGTGAGCCGATGTAAACCATATTTGAACTTGATCTGGCTGAAACAATATTATACCTCAATACAACATTTTGGAGAACTACTTCAATTCCTTTAGAGGCTAGTGTGAGCAAAACACAGAGGCGGACATATCTATCAACGTAAATATTTACACTGATTAAGAAAATATGTGGGCATAGCTGAAGCCGAGGGTCATCACTTAACAGCACGGAAGTTGTAATAATATCAGAAAATTTGAATAGTTTTGGATTATTTGATCTGTCGTTGCAAAATGTTTAAAATATTGACATCTAACATAAAAAATGTATAAAACAGGTCAAGACAAACGATTTGTGAAGCCAACAAAATGAGGATTACGTCCCTTATGTAACATTTTTCAAAAATTGTATCTGCATTCAACCTTAAATGATGCTGAAATTTTGAGACTTAAGTCTTCAAAATAATTAAAATGATATATACTAATTTTTTTTTATTATTTTTCTTATGTTTCGCGAGAATTTACAACTTTTTCCCGTATTCATATATAAAGAAGTAAGCCATCTACGATTTTGGTCAATATTCTAAGAAGTGTAATTTTAATTGAAACATCCATAAGTTTTGCGCACAACAATCAAAAGTTCTGTAGCGAACGAATTGGGAGTCGAGACATTTACGTAGCACTAAAGCGATTTACGGAAAAAATCCAGTTTTTTAAATGTTGTATGTTTCCCATATAAGAAATTGCATATGTTGCCTAACATTTTATAGAGTCCGAAATTACCCTTTCATATTATAAACTGTTGGGGATTTATTAAATGAGACAAACATTTGAGCAGGGACATTGGAATTCAAAATAATATTAAAAAATTCCCAAGAAGGAACATTATTTAATGATTAAAACTCACGTACTCTCATAAAAAATATATATGTGAATATATGCGCGTAAAAAATGCAAATGTGGGGATATATGAAAAAACTTAAAAACTTTTAGGTCATATCTAATTTTGACCCAGACCATCAATTAAGGATTTTTTATTTCAGTTGTGCTACAACCCAAAGTTAACATGTACTTATATATGCAGCATTTTACTGTTTCCGAAATGGCTTTATAGAATTCCATTAAAATTTTCCAGACGATTGTAGAAATTTAGAAACTGGTCAAGCCGAAAAACTGAATGCTTTATAATGGCCCTATTTACCAACAAGTGCTAGCACGTTTTATGTCGTAACAAAAAATAAACAACCAGCAAACTAACAAACTGACTACTAAAAACCCCTCTGAACATGACAACTTGTCATGTTTGAACAAAAAACGGATGGTGTAGATTTTGCAATGGGATTTTAATTCGAAACAGACTGAATAAATGCGTGTGTATGTACATACACACACATATATATATGTAAATGTTTTTACTTAAGGATATTCGACTCTCAAATGTCCCATGTTCGACTTAAATAGATGTCAAAATTGATTCTTTGGATTAACAATTTAACAGCAATCTATTGGATTTCCGTCTTCCTAAATCTTTGAATAGACCACAATAATGTTGTTTTTCTACAGTTTGTTTTATAACAAAAATATTCATGTATAGATATTTTGTGTGTGTGTTTGTTGTTGTGTATTTGTTCATTAGGCTGGCGTTAAGAGACAACAAAGGAAACCCCTAAAATGTTAAACATAATAAAATCCGAAGGACAAACCTCCAAAGTGAAACCGGAAGGATAAATTAATGTCCATTACATTTTAGAAAAAAAACAAAACTTATTTTACGAAGCCCAATTCCCCTCGCTATTATGTAAAACTCTTGACCGAATATTAGGGTTAGAACTTTTCAATATAATTTATATCAGATACGTTTGGAATTCATATATTGAATCGACTTGAAATATTACTTTTACATGGTTTTGGATTTCATACTCCACCCTAATGTGTTCTTTTTTCATTCCGCTCGACTGGTATATTAAATCTGAAGCCAAATTGCAAATCCCATATTTGAAAATGAAAAACAAAATACATGTGTACACATATCGTACACATACGAGTATGTGCGTACATAAATTTCTGTACACAGGGGATTCTTTTTAGCATTTTTTCTAAAAAGTTGCTTGTGCAATTATGCCTTTCATTCGTGTTCACATGAGTGTTACACGAGTGCTCCCAAAATCCCTACACAGAAAATAATTGGGTGAAACCACTAATTTGATTGTGGAGAATTAAAAGTCAATTTAAAATGTAATCACAACAATTTCAATTTACATTAGAGCACAGAGAGAATCCGGCCGAGTATATTGGTATGGGTGTATTTTGAAAATTTATCATTCAATGCATGAATGGAATGAGAAAAATTCGATATTTACAAATTACATTCATTTCAAACGGGGGTATTAAAACTATGGAATTCCATTAAAAAGAGTTAGGAAAAAACGTAATTACGCTGATTCGAAATAGTACAAAATTGTTTTTATTAGTTATTTTCATATACATATCTGCAATATTAGACCGTTAATTTCATATTGTAAGAACAAAAATAACAGTTTTTAAAAAGGGGTTAAAAATGTTGAAATAGTAAAATTGAGCCTTAACTTCTGGGAATCAGCTTCGAAATCCTTGAGTTAAAATAATATTGAAGTGATTGCCATTGCCCCATAATCGTTTCAATAACTTCTTGACGTGAAAGCCATCGAGCTATTGAGTATTTAAAAACAACATGAATATATGTACCGAAATGTTCCAGAATTTATCAATCTGATTCAAAAATTCATCCATTCGTAAGCACTTATAATACTTTTAAGTGAAAATTATTTGATACAATGTAGAAATAGTGCTAAATATATCATTGGGGTGATATAGTAGTTTTGACTTCCAAATAGTGCTCAAATTAGTACAATTGTACCAACTTTTACATCCCTAAGGCATAATATTGCCTAGAAATATCGCTCATTAGCTTCAAGACCCAAAACTGAAAATTTCCATACAATAACTATCCTAGACTATAATCGAAAATATACAAATTGTATTTATAGTGAAGCTAAATTGAAACTTAAAAATGGTTAAAGATTGAACGGACATACATTGACACTGAATGTAGTCATTTGCAGGAGTCATGTATATGTATGTGTGTATGTATATATGTATATTGCTCCTGAAATATGAAAATATAAATATATTTCTTGTTATAAAAAATAAATATATTTCTTGTTATAAATGAAAAATGAAAACTTCAATTAGATCCCACAAATATCCTGAATATGCATAAATATGCTCTTATTTGATGTTGTATCTAACCGACAGACCGTAATGCTATTTAGGTCAACTAGAGTTTATTATACATTGTGTTAGCGCAGTTCCGAAGTAAAGCTAATTTAAAACTATTTCTGTTTGTTGGTATTTTAGTTGTTCAAAAAATATTATCAAACCCAATGTTAATAGTTTTAGAGAAAAGTTTTCGAAAAACAAGAGGAAATCCGAAATAAATCTCTTTGTGTTTTTTACTGTGTATTTGCCCACAATCTACTCCCAGCTTGCCTATTTTGCCAGAGTTGTTGGTCCCTCTGCCATGGTGGGGGATTTCGTTTTGTCGTTATGCCACAGACGGCAAATGGAAAACAAAAAGCTAAATACGTTGTGTTTTGTATTCGTATCAAGCAACGCTTCATACCAGCTGAACAATTTGAAGCGTTGGACCGATAGGACGAAAACGATGACGACGAGGACGAACGGGGAATACTTAAAAAATAACAACAACACACACGCACATACAACGCTGAGTAAAGAGGGCAAAGATGTTTTGTGCAAAACAATATGTTTGTGTGTTGGTCGGTGTGTGTTGTACATGTGTTGTAGTAGGATGTAGTAGGTATATATTTATATATGTGTATAAATTCAAGTAAAATATTTACCCAAAGGATCCACACGGTAAATAACTTCTGGTAAGACGGGACTCAGTGTACACATGAAAAATACCCAGAATGTTAACCAAGCGCAGAGCATCTGACGCCAGCTGTGATGCAGCCAATGCCGCAGATCTGGACCAGGATGATATTGAAGCGTCGCCATCTTGCACTGGCGGCAAAGTCAGTTATGGTGGCTAACTGCCACAGCTCTTGTAGCTATGGTTTGAAGGGAATCGTTGATTTTTCTGCTTCTGGAAATGCTGCCTTTGTTCTTGTTTTTTGTTGCTGTTATTGTTGTTTTAGCTGACGTGACGGTGATGTTGTTGTTGCTTGTTGCCGTGCTTAATACTTGAATTTATGCTGTAGTCTTTCAGCTGTACAAAGTTCTTTCTTTGGCTGTTTGTATTGTTTAATTTGTGCTGATGCTATTGTTGTTGTTGTTTTTGTAACTCTTGTCTACTGTTGCTGTTATTCTTGCTGTTGCTAGTGATTGTTGCAAGTTTGCTTCTGTTGATGGTGGGTTTCTTCACAATTGTTCTGAAGTTAAATGCTTTAATGGCAATTCTTGTCTTTGTTATTTCTGTATTTTTTATTCATGCTCTTGTTGGCCTTTGTTATTGTTATTATTATTGTTGCTTCTTTTTTTGCCACATTTAATTCATTTTATTTAATTCTTCTCCAGTTCTCATTTCAGTGTTCCATTCGGGTTGGCTGTGAAAATATTTATAAAACAATATAAAATAAACGTTTTTTATTCATACTCTTGACAAGATGTTTTTTACTCTAGTTTAAATTACGCATACATACATACACAACACATGTCTGTGTATGCAGTAAATAAATAAAATAATACATATATTATATACATACACGCACGTACGCACACACACACTAAACTTTCTGTTTGTGGGAATTGAAAAGCGAAAACAATTTCGCCAGGCAAACTGATGATGATATTACTTTTCAATTCACGTTTAAATGTTGCTAATTAAAATGTTTGTTCATAATTAATTGAGTATGCCGTTTAAGTAGGCACACACAGACTTACACACACACTCACACAAGAACACATATTTGCACACCCACGTTCAGAACCATACACATAAGTAGCGTAGCGTGTGCGGTAGGGAATAGGCTTAATATAATTTTATGCTATGGGTCAAATGCGAATGTTGCTACGGGGGTTGACTTTAATTTCCACACAATGCCACAAACTTAGGTGGAGAATACACAAATCTCATTGCACTTCTTAGAAACGCGTATATTTATGTGCGTCTCTTTTATTTATCTTGTGGTTTAAATTCAAAAAGTATACACTAAATAGGTGTAGATTCCAGATTTTCTTATGTTTGAAGAAAAAATATTAAGTTTTATTGAATGACAGTCAGAATGAAATGAATAGTGATCAGTGTGACAAATGATGTAGATAATCATCTGCAAATTTGATAACGCTTAATGGAATTTTAACTTAAAAAAACAACGGTAGCTAAAACTATTAAAAATTGACATATTATATGGAACAGATGCTGATATTTTGGAATACCAATCTAATTGATTAAAAAATATCCCAATCTTTTTCATGTTTGGTTTCTCATTGGTTGTCAATTCTTCCTACTAAGCATTGGCAATATGTGACCCATAGTGATACCCCTTGGTATTTTTCATAAATGGCCAAATTGATTTTGGATATTTATTTTGAATATTCACCTCATGGTGGAACGTATAAGAAGTTAAGTACGAATGAACATAACGCCGATTTTATTTATTTAAAAAACGAAAATATTTAAAAAAACTGGCATAGATACTAAAAAAATTTGGCGACAAGCTCCAAATGTTTCCAACGATATTACTACTGTTGTGGTCTTAACCTTCTGATAATTTATTTAGGAGTGATGACATAATTGATATAGTCTGGTATAATAATTTTTTCTATATGAATAACTACACTCTGCATAAAATCCGGTTAAAATCGGTCTTACATTTTAGTAATCTCAATAACTCTTTGACGCATAGTATATTTTAAAAAATCGATAAATAGCATGCTCATTTGTACCCTTCATTACAACATTAGCAGAATACATACATGAATAAATATACATCTGGGATCCACAAATATATGAACGACCTTAAAACTAGTTTTGTATTTCCCTTTCGATGGTTACATTTCCACACTTCATGTTAACTTTAATAAAGTTTTCAACAGTTTTGTATTGCCTGTAAATGTGTGAACTTGACACCAGGAAATTTATTTTTGCAACGTTTCCTAAATAGTCAAAAGTTGAAAATGTCACCCGAACATATTTGTAAAAATACAACAATTAACAGAAACTACAAGTACTCGTATATATATATGAATTTATGTATGTGTGTTAAATCTCTCGCATATAATTAACGCAACAAAGTTTTTCAACAACATATTATTATATATATACATTTAATTTTCAAACAGTGTATGCGGTACTACGGCATATCCTTCTTTAAGGTAACTTATTATCACAGTTGTTCAAAGTGGTAATTTAATAGCAGCTGTTAAAGCCCGCAACAAACAGAACGGCTCTGCTTCCAATAACGGCAGTGCGCCACTTTTTACGCATTTAAATAATTTACGATACATATTCGTGAGGTTCAACAAAAATATAATTATAAAGGATTTCCATAAAGCGTATAATACCATCACATTCTCATTAAGCCGCATTTTTACTGATATCATTAACACAAATATGAAAATTGTAGCGTAGCAACGATTGTCGGTACGGCAATGCTTAGAGTTTATCCAATCAAAGGACACAAAGAGTAATCCCATTAAAAGCATATGTATGAATTAATAAATACCGTGGCATATTAATATTACTGTTGAATGAAGTATATATATATTATTTTCTTTTGTAATAGGTTGGATCAAATCTGATTTACGGAAGGAAATTTTAAATAAATAAAAACAATGAGTTTATGTTGACGAATTATGTGATATTATATTGCAAACATAATTAAATTCATGGTTTAAATTGTTGATTTTAAATTGAAATCTGGGGACATTCTGTTGTTCAGAGAGTTTTAAGTTACCAATAATACATAGTTATTTTAATAAAAACAACAAACTGGACTTAAGTCTGAATATTTTGCAAAAACAAATGTTTTAAGTTAAAATATAACTATTGAATTATATTGAAAGTATGTCAACTGATTTCTAATCATTCCTTGGACATATCGGTCCAAGTTTTGGTATTTTGGGCACGTTTTCCAACCAAATTGGCTATATTTTGGTATTTGACCCAATAAAACCCTATACAACCGAATTGACTGTAATTTGACATCATTGAATAACAGATATCCGTACTGAAAATTATTAATATTGATAGATCCATAATGATTTTTGAAGAATTCTGCATTAAATGTCCAACATTTGTTCGAACGACATGGAATTTAGCACAGCGGGCTGTGTTTCAACAAGTGTTAGTAAGTTTGTCCATATTTAAATATTTCCAGATGATAAGCAATTCGAAATTAAATATAGAATGGTGTTTAGGTTCTAGTCCTACTACATCACTAGTCATATCTTGACTAGCTGAGTCGATCTTGATATGTTTGTCCTTCCGTCTGTCGATTAGAATTTATGGACTAATCGTCACGAAATCCGGCTCTGGCAAAAGAAGACACATGGTTTGTTAAAGGTCCGTTAATATTTAGCAGTTGATGTTTCATTTCTGTCATTATTTTTGTTTGTTTTCTAGTCACTTTAGAGGCGGTAATTATTACCATCGCGAATGTTTACACAAAGAAGGGGTATTTCGCCAACGAATTAATGAAATCAAATGAAACAAGTCTTTTGTTGGAAATTAGAAGATTTGCGTTCTATCCCCCATCGACTGTCAATTTCAAACAAGTTATAATAATATCATTATTTGTCTCTATTTTAAGAAAGCTTTAATCTTGAATAGCAAAACAACAATTTTTGTATAAACAAAAGGCTTAACTCCAAAATACACAAATAGAACATGGGAAAATAGAGTTTCATATTTAGTTCAACACTTCTAACATAAACTAGAAGAAAAAATATGAAGAAGAAAGACCTTCGACTTAATCCGCTTTTGGAGAATTTTCCGACACCAACCGAGTATAATATGATGTGACGCCAGAAGTTGCGTTATCACATCCTATCTGCCTGCCTTGCATTTCAATAAAGCAGGACAAGCATTTAACGCTGTCACTGTTATGGGCTCCGACCCTGTTGTCTCAGTTGACGTCTGACAAATTTGTGTCGCAGAGTGTGGTTTCACGGGATTACAGTTCTTTAGGCAAAACTTAAAAGAAGGATTTTCCAACGGTTATTCTATGCTCTTTTGGTTGTCTCTTTATTGTTTGTGTGTGTGGGTGTATGTGCGGGTAAGTTTTCTTTGTTGCACAAGATAGAACAAAATATATATTTTTTTGTTAATTTCTCAAGAAAATGAAAACACAAAACAATGATGACATGTGCGTCAACGTCAACGCTGATGTGGAAGAAGACGTTGACAGTGGCGACGATTCTCGAGAAAACTCAATAATTTATGAAACCGAAGAAAGTTTTTGTTGCCGCATTACTTTCGGTTCTTTGTTGTCCTTGTAATGGAAAATAAGCGCGACTGTTGGTGTGCCCGCTTATTTGAGTATGTGTACGCGCAAATGAATACATATATGTGTGTGCGTGTGCGTGCTTGTGTGATTAAGTATGGTATGACACGCTGTTGTTATGTGCACAAGTGCTACACGTATGTGTGTATGTGTATGTGTATGTGAGTGTAGGCACAAAGATGTGGATATGATTATGGAATTCCTTGTAAGGCTCTTTTAGCCCCAAAAGCTTTTCTTTCATATATTAATAATAAGTACATAAAACGGCAAACAAAAGAAAGAATAAAACAAAAGAATGTTAAATCACACACAAACCTCACCAGGCCAAGCATTGTGAATGTTGCAGGCTGTCGTCTCCTGCCATATTTTTATCCAACACCAGTCCACTCACCGTAAACATTGTATGTGCTGTGCTCATACTTGGTTTTCCGTAAAACATAAATTAATGAAAGTATTTATGTCCGAGAAGAGCTCCCAGGCAAAAAGCAAAAACAAAAAAGACGGTGAGGAGCTTAATTGCCAATATTACTCAACACGGCAAAATGACTGCTCTCAGAATAATGTGAATCCTTTGGCAGGCAAAATCTCATCTGGCGAAGAAGACGAATAATTCTTCAAGGGGACA